ATCCTGTGAGAGGAAAATGACTAGTGGATACGGAATTCTCAATTCTTTGGGGTAAAATAGTTTTTGTGTGGGCAAGCTCACTTCTCCTCTATTGATAAATGTGAGTTGTGAACTATCATGAACTTCTCTTTTTAGAACACTTCAGTGCTCTCATTCCTCCAGGATGGACTCCAAACTCCTTAACACAGCCCTCAGCGCCTTTTGCCCACTGGTCTTTGCTTTCCACGCCAGCCTCGTCTCATTGCTTCCTCCCTGTCTTCTCTCCAGCTGGACTGGAGTAATCTCAGGACACCACATAGCTACATTCTTTGTCCTCTTTGGGCCAGTCTATCACAGGCATCCTGCTGTCCTTTTCCCACATCTGTCTATTAGTAATGACAGTAGTAGTAGTAGTTGTTAGGCTCTTAGTAGGGCTCACATGGATTCTCTCACTTAATCCTTACAACAACCCTTGAGTACTATCATTCCCATTTTGCAGATGAGGAAAATGAGGCTTAGTGAGCATGTAAGAGACCTACCCAGGCTCACACAGCTATTAAGTGGTAGCACAGGGAGATGACGCTAAGTAGTCTGACTCCTGAGCCCACTCTTGGCTATACTGCCTCTCAGCATGTGATTAAAGCATGTTTACGTGGCTAACTCCTAGTCATTATTTAGACATCACTTGCTCCAGAAAACCTCCCTGATACCTCCTGCCCTAGCCCCCAGCCGGTTATGCGCTCTTCCTGTGCCTGTTCAGTCACACCTCCCATTTCTCCCTTTATAGACTTATCATGCAAGGCCGCCTGCAATTGCTTGTTCACTTGTCTGTGTTCCCCACAAGCTCCTGAGACCCATGGGGCAGGATCCCACCAGCCTGTCTTGCCATTTTATCCCCGGCAGCTACCAGGAAGCTTGGCATTCAGCAGGAGCTCAATAAATGTTTATGGAAGGAGTAGTCTTTTAACTGAACTTTTGTTGTTGTTGAGTCGCTAAGTTGTCTGACCCTTTGTGACCCTATGAACTGGAACTCGCCTGGCTCCTCTGTCCATGGGATTTCCCAGGCAAGAATACTGGAGTGGGTTGTCATTTTCTCCTCCAGGGGATCTTCCCAACCCAGAGATCAAACCTGCATCTCCTGCAGGTAGATTCCTTACCATTGTGCCATCTGGTACAATGACTAAGCCCTTGACTAAACTTAGTGACACTGAAAACTGCACAGTTCTTCTGGCAGGAAGAGGTTAATCCTCATCTTAGTGAATTGTCAGACTCTAATGGAGGAAATACCCAGCAGCTTCTCCTTTCTTTGGAACTTCAGAATTATGTGACTAGACAGAGGCTTTCTTGTGGTTAACAGAGCCTGTGTGTCAAGACTATCACTTTAGTCAAGCTTTTGTTCACTCCAGCTGTCTCCCCACCCCTCACGAAATGCTTGTCTGTAAAAGAGATAAACCAGGAAGTGGCTTGTTGCTTTACAGAAAGATTCACCTAAGGATTCTCACTTCTCATTTGGCCCGTTACCGGGTATCATGTAACACTGAAGCTGAAAATGATGCTGGACTGTTGCTCATCCAATCCTTTTTAGATGAGAGAGAAAATAAGGCACAGAGAGGCTCAGATTCAACCACTAGTTAGTGGCCAAGCCAGAGCTATTAATATAATCCACACCTTTTATTTAAGTAATGAACTTATGTGATGCATTTAAAATATAATTACTTTATGAAAATGTTTTTCACATTCACATTTATTGCAATAAATGTGTTAGCTCTAAAGCAGCATTCACCTATCTGTATACTTCAGCAGTGCAATCATGAGAAAAGATTTTCAGAAAACTTTGCTGAAGTCTAACATACATTCAGAAAATTGTATATAACTCAATGAATTTTCATAAAATTAATCCATCCATGTAACAGACACCCAGATCAAGAAACAGGACATTAACTGTGGAAGATTTTTACTATAAATAATATATGATTATTTTTATATTATCACCTACATATGTTCTATAAAATGTATTACAGGTTTATCATAAAAGCAGGTTCTTATGGGCGGTGGGTAGAAAGGAGAAGGAACTTTAAGATGACAACTTATCCTTATGTGCATCTCTCATAATTCCATAATGCAGTATTTAAAGAATATATCCTTTTGCTTTTGTAATGAAGGTGAAGTTTATTTATTTGCCTATTTGTTTGCAGAATTACTATGTATTTCACTGATTGTAAAATCATAAAGTTCTAAAATCATAAAATTCATTCATATTGGTATGACTCATTCTATAGTACTCAAATATCTACTTTAGAGCACTTTGCAGGGATCATTTGTTACGTGAGATTTGTAAACATTGGTATGTGTGTGTGCTTTATTCTTTTTAAAAGAAGGTGAAATCATGAATCTACTATTAGCAGTGTACACACTTACTCTGGGCCCCAGTGGGTTTGCGTGGAGCACATTACGTGTTTTTACTTATACTTTTTGGCAAACTTGGATGTATTTCTGTGTGGACTGACGCATTAGCGTGTCTGGTTGAAGAGCTGACCTGCCTCTGTTCTAAGCCAGCTAACCCACGCATGTGGCCCAGCTCATTAGCACAAGGCTTTAAACATCATTTCAATACTACCTGATGAAGACTTTATTCCCCATGTAGGCATTTCCCAGAACTTTGGACAAGTTATTTAACCTGAAATAGTCTCCTCGTTTCAACTCTTGGAGTAACCAATTCTGTCACATAATTATGATAAACATATGGGGGAATAAATCTTCTAACATTGGATCAGTGTTAAACTTATCTGCAAGGCCAATACACAGTTCAATTAATAGAACAGACTGGGAAATTTCTGGAAAATCCTTCATGATCTAAAAGTTGCTTAGCCCAATGGATTTTTTAATATCATCTAACATCCTAAGAAACGTTTTCTCCCCACCAACCCATTCCCTATCTCCATCCAGTTGTTCAGAGCAATGGCTTAACTAACTTTAGTCCAGAGAAAAACAGTTCTTACCTGTTTTAAACTTACTTCCTGCTGTCTAGAATAGCCCCTTCAGCAAGCAACATGTTAATCTACTTAATTAACATGTATTGTGCCTTCTTCAAGGCCAAGCAGGGTCCAATGATGTGCTATAGCTAATTTTACCTTCTTCCTTTTTGTGTCTCATTCTGCTTCCCCTCAGCTCCCCCTTTAGCCTTATCTGCTTACAACAAAAGCTCAATAGGAGACTAGCAATAGCATGATAAAATTAAATAGAATGTCACAAAAAGGCCTGGGAATTTGAAAGGTGCCTTTTAACTTTAGCAGGAAGGCAGAATAACATGGCCCTTGCCCTTGGCTTGGAGAAGTTTATGCAGAAAGTACTTGATGGTTATTCTGTTTATTTGCCCTTGATGGACACTGTTTTTTCTTTATGTGAGAACCATATCTCAGTGGAATTGCAATTGAAAGTACACATCCCCTAGTAAAAGCAAGTATTGTCATCCTGTTGACGCCACTAAAGCCTGTTAGGACTATTAATTTTGTTGTTCATTTAGGCATGCATGGTTTCCACAGTAACAGCAATGTCATAGTTCCTTCAAGCCCTCTGTGCAGTGAGCATCTGTTGAGAGTCCTATGAAGGTGCCATGGTTTCTATCCTTCCTGTCACAGATTGAACCCCTGCCTTGCTCTCTTTATGTGCTACATATTTATCAAGAATCCCTAGAGAGAGGAGACTCTTTGCTGGAGCCAGTCAAAGGAGAAATAGAAATGAGTATGAAGGCTTTTGTTTCCCATGGGCTGCTGTAGAAGACCTCAGAATAAGTGGTTTGGAAGTCATACAATTATTAAAAATCTTGGTCAGCTGAAATGTGAATCAGTCCTTGGCAAAATTCATAGCCAATCTTTTATAGAGGATGGCCAGGACACTGAGTGTCCTGCTTAAAGCCAAAATTGTAAATTCTAGCCTAAACTCCCAGTGGTATGCAGTAATAGGGTGCAATCTCTTGCCAACTATTTTTCATAGTTTGAGACCTTCTCCTAAAGAACTGTATGGTTTTCAGAAAACATGTGTCTTGAAGGATGCATTTTCCCTTTTAATTTCCTCCTAACCACGGGCTGGTATCTTACATGTTTTTAAAAGCCATCTTCTATGGCAGCTATCTTCTTAGTACTATTCAACATGAGTTGAATATCTTATCTTTAATCCTGTCCTAATTAATCTCATTTGCAATTTACAGTCAGAACTAGAGGAGAGTAACAATTTATAGATAAATTACATACTAGCAAGTGAAAGGAGCTGAAACGAGGCAATCTGTCTTTTCACAACTGTTGAGTTATCTTACGTCCTTGCAGAATTGTTAGTTGAAACTTACATGTAAATATTAGGGCACCTGACTGAGTAAGTTTATCAAAACATCTTTGTAGGTTTCCTACTCCTTCTGTCATTACTCTGATCAAGATGATCAAGAACAGATTTCTGTCTTCATTTCTGCAGAGACGCTTACTCACTCCTCTTCAAAATTCTCTTACCTAATGATACCTATTGTTCAATCATAAGTAATATTTAGCAATGAAATCTTTTACTTGGAGTGAATTATCTTTGGAATTCTCTACTGATCAAGTAATTGTCATTTCCACCTTTCAGTTTATATAAGAAGCTTCTAGGTTGAAATACCATGCTTCAGAAAGAAGGTTGGGTCTGGGTTACTCCAGCTTCCACCAAGCAGTGGGCATGTTCTGAGGGCTTCTGTTTTGCAGATCTTGTGGGGACTCCTGGGACCAATTTTTGTAGGATCTCCTACTCTAAGCACATTTTCTGGACTGTTTTTACTTTTTATCCCCATTTTATCAACAAAGAACTCTTCTCTTTATTTTTTATTCTGTAGGATCATAAAATCATAGTACTTTTGACCTGGAGAGTACCCACCCCACCCCTGCTGATCCTCTATATGCTTTTCTGTCCTCAAAACTTACAGGCCTAACTATGCTCATGTCAATCACTTTTTAAAAACTTATGTACATAGATTCATGGACAGTGGAGCACAAATCAAACATTTTGTTATATACCGTTTATTATACCAGTGTGGGTTTAAAGGAAAAAACCCTAAATTACAAATGAGATTGTTTTTTCTATTTCCAGCTCTGATTTTAACTCATGCAATGACCCTGGACATGTCTCTCAATTCTGCTGGGTGTCAGTTTCTTTATCTGTAAAATGAGAATAGCATTCTATCATAACTTATTATAAAGATAAATGAGACAATATATGTAAAGCTTCTTGGAAAGTGTGAGGTACTATATATAAGTATGAGATATGTGGCCATAATGCCTGTCTGTGGACTTTAATTGCCCATAGCCAAGATCACAACACCCTTATAAGTCCACTTAACAAAAAATGTGGTTTACCTTGACCAAACAGTTTCACCAATAGCAATCCATAGTGCAGAAATTTTCATTCATGTGTGATTCTTGGCAATTGACTTAACTTTCCCATACTTCATTTTCTTACCTCCAAAGTGGATTTGACCATTTACCTAGCTCAAATCAATTAAAATATATAGAGTAAATCTAGAAGAACACATTTGATTATCCTAAGACACGCGATAGTGTCGAATGTTTCTGTGAAGTTAGAATATGTTGCAGTCTAGTTGTTTTCCCACTTCAACTGTAACTTCCAACTGTGGGCTTTCTCTTAATTGCTTCCCTTTGGCCCATACAGTGACCAGCATAGTGCTAGGAACATGGCAGACACAGAAGATATGTGTTTTCCAAGAATAACAACATCTTGTTGTATATTAAAAAAAAGGGTTTTAACTTGAAATTTTCTGTTAAGTTATTCATTCATTAATTTATTGATAAATTTATTAATTTAACACTTCTTGGCCATACATTAGAGGTAAAAAATAATAGGTGTTGGTATACAATCATGATGAAAGGCTTGTATAAATATCTATTTAGACTGAGTAGTCTCTACCTGTAGGTCTGAACTGGTACAAGTTTTGGTATCTGGTCTTGAATACATTTTATGCTGTCACTTGCAATCCTTCTACTTTGAAGAGTACTCTTCAATGACTCAGATGAAAACTCAGAGGAAACTGGTAGGGCCTTGGAGAGCCTGATGGAGCATGAAGTGCTCCAGATAATTCTGAAAGCCTACAGACCTCGAGCATCCTTTCCTCTGGTTGAGAGATCTGTTATGAATTCTCCAGTTTGAACAGGGCTGATTCTGAAACAGCAAGCCTAGGGGTTAATTAAAGACATTCCCTCTGGAGCCACTGCCTGAGTTTGAAGCTAAGCCCTACCACTTACCAAGTTGGTAGTCTTGGGCAGACTGTATGCTCTCTCTGCCTCAGTTTACTCGTCTGTTGAATGGAAGTAACAATGTGACCTCCTTAGGTTGTTTTGTAGATAAAGAGATGTCTAGGAAAGTACATTAATGAGCAGGAACAGCGCCTTCCACTCTTAGACAGCTGGAAATGTGAAGTTCTTTTTAAAGTGCCTAAGTATAGTTCTATACTTAGAGTATTGTATTGTATTGAAAATAGTACTGAACTCTGAATAATGGTAACCTGCTTCCCTAGGACAGCATCAGGAAGATCCTAGAAACTCAAAGAAATACAGATTTTGGCAAGCATAATCCAGAACTGGAAGTTAGGGAGATTATCCAAGTGTATGGTCATCAAGAAAGCAACAGGGGGTTTTTCTGGCAGAACTATGGGAAAACCCACAGTCTAATGAGGCAGAATCATGAAGTATGATAGGGGGCTTCTGCTCCCACCCCAGAAAGGTTCACCAGCCTGGTATCTGGCTTTCCTCTTAGCCATGTTCTACCCAGATCATTACCTCATGTACTCTATCTGTTCTGCTAAAACTCTCCCAGAGAAGGAAGCAAAACCTTCCCTCCAGGGAGGTCACCTAGGATTGCAGTGCTTTGCTTCATGCAAACATCTCTCCAGGGAAGGAGCCTTCACTGTCCCTGCTGTGTGGATAGATTGAGGAGCCCCCAAGGCTTGGCAGCAGGTCAGTGCCAAGTCAAGCTTCCAGACCCAGACAGAGGCACAGATTTTTATCTGAACTTAATTCCTTTTTCAGAAGAGCATTCACAGCCTCTCGTCTCTTACTTGAATTGAATCCCCATGGATCACAATTTTGTTCTGTGGCTCTAATCTAGCTGAACACAATTCAAGGGCTCTTGGTCATTGGCTGGTTCCCAGAGCTACAGACCTCTGACAAGATCAGCCCTCTTACCCTAGGTGAGGAACCACTGCTTGGGAGAGTCACGTGACTGGCCAAGGTCAAGTGGCGAGTTGGTAGAAGCACTAGACTACAAGAAAGGTTACCAGTCTTCATCTAGAGTTCCTGCAATTTTTATTAGCAATAAGAAAATCTACTCAAAAACAACTCATAAACCTCTTAGAATAGAGATCTTTGATGTCATAGGTAAAAAGTATAGAGATTGTGTAGCATAGTCATCTGAACTAAATTTTAGAGTTTTGTAAGTACCTTCTCCCTTTATTATATTTAGAATAATGTCTGACTCGCCACAGCCAGGAGTCTGAGATGTGTTCTAGTCCATGTGCACTTGTGTATCTAGGGGTGATGTTGGCATGGTTCCCCAAAGATTTCAAGAGGATGCCTCCTCTCAGGTTTTATTTTGTAGTAAAAATACTTAGTGGTGATTTTGATTTTCCTTGTCTTATGAGATGCGAGTGTCAGAAAGGAGGCCACTGACTCCTGATTTTCTATGTGGTCATTATCCGCACTCCATTCAGACCACAGTGAAGACCACTGGATCATAAATGATCCCCCAGAGACTGTTTGTGTGGTCATCTGTGGGGAGGGAAAGGGAGGTATGCAGGCAAGCAACACTGACCAAAAATATTTCTCCTAAAAGCTCTCATACTTGCAGTGTGAATTCACCACTGGAAGACTGCCATGCTTTCTATTTTAAGGTCCCATGTCTTTTATGTAGCTCTGTTGCTCCTTCTAATTCTACCCTGTGGTGTGGAGAGTAGAGATGAAGATAATGGGTCCTGGAATTGGATTGCTTGACTTCAAATTTTGGCTTTGCACAGGCTAATTTTGTGATTATAGGCAAAAGTCTTAATCTTTCTGGGTTTGTTTCCTATCAGTAAAGTGATTTGACAACTTCAACTCAAATGATTGATATGAGAACTAACTGGGGAGAGTACAGACACACTGGCCTGCAGTGGCCACTTAGTGTTAACTGTTACCATTAACATCTCCTGCTTGTGCAGCCCAGCACTGTGAAAAGAATACTGGATTAATAGGACAGGAGACCCAGGATTTGGTCTAGGCTCTGACTTTTATGTAGCTACATGAACTTGGGACAGTCAGTTGACCCCAGTTCACAGAATACAAAGTATAGAAGTATTTGGTCCAACCTCCTCATTTGATGAATGACATTGGATGGCGAGAGAGGAAGAGGCTTTCCTAGAGTCCACAGGGAGTTAATGCCCAGGCAAGGATCAGCCAGTACCTGCTCTCTTGACTTCTAGCCCAGAGTTTTTTCCATCGTTACTTTGGGGACCAAAGATCCTGCCAAGTGTCCCCAACTTTGCTGAAGACCTGAGGACTTTGCGGTTGGCAGGCACATGGTTCCTAACAAGCTGTCTTTGGGTTGTGGCCATCCCAGAAGCAGCAGCCAGTGCATTCTAATATGTCATGGCTGGTACAAGTGTTGGAAGTAGAGTGATGCCTTTAAGAAGCTACTGGGTGGAAGCCGCTGCTGTTCTGGGGAGCCCAGAAAAGCTCATTCCAGACCAACAGGACAAACTTGGGCAGGTTCTCACAGCTCAATGGCTTAGTGACTGACCACATTTCTTCTTTCCCTTGTCTCCTGCCTGAGAAACTCACAGTGACCATGTCTCTACCTTAAGCTGTGGATGTCTCCTTGATAGCTCTTACTGTAGGCTCTTGACACCCATTTCCTCCTCTGCTCTGACTCTCACTCAGACCCTGGGAGTATAGGTTGACCATATTCTCCACTCTTACATATGTGACTTGATCCACAAGGTACTCTTTCTCTTCTGTACCCTGCCCACAGCAGACACTCAACAAAGCCAGTCCTCTGCTCATTATTCTAAATACATCCCAGGCTTCTGGCTCTGGTTCATTGCATATATTATGTCTCTCCATGAATTCTTGCTGAATCCTCTCAGATTAACTATTAGATTTCTGCAAAGCCCACAATGGTCCTCCTACTCAGAAGTGGTCTTCTTTCCTTGGAACTTTCAAAGCACATACTGACTATAACTGATGGTTTCCACATGTCAAGAGACATCCTCTTCCTCTTAAGAAATTCCTCAAGAACCATATAATGACAACTTTCTATTCCCCGAAGCATTTAGCAGAGTTCCTTACCCATTGTAGCAGCTCGGTTAGACCTGCTTGAACAGATGTTGACTGGTTAGCTGGGTTGCCAACCAGGGACTCCAACCTTAATAAAAAGGTAATTCCTTCACAATGAAAAATGCTTTCTCCCTGGGTATCATTGTGAGACTGTGATAAGTCAGTTATAGCCATTCAAAGGCTCCTTGAAGCTTTGGCAATGCCCAATCATGTTGAGAATTCTACTTTTTAGAAATCTGGAGTGACACATATTTTTAATTAATATCAATTAAAATAAGTTTTGCTCTTCTTTTTCTATTGGTAGAAACTGACCACCCAACATGGGCAAGCAAAACAAGCTAACATACTCTAAAAATGCAAGAAGAAGTTTAAGGACATAAAAGGCATGATGAGTAATGGAGTCCTGAAACTTTCATTCACTCACCCACTCATTCACTTGGTAAGCAAACAGGTTGTTGTTCAGTTGCTCAGTCGTGTCCAACTCTTTGAGACCCCATGGACTGCAGCATGCCAGGCTTCCCTGTATTTCAATATCTCCTGGAGTTTGCTCAAGCTCATGTCCATTGAGTTGATGATGCCAACAGAATAAAGCAGATAGGAAACAGTTGTATTATTCTATTCATGCAGAGTTCTATGCAGAGATCTATATAGCCCTCTGCTAGAGCCCTGTGCTTCTGAAATTGTTTGCTAAAATAATGGTCAGAAGTAGTTTGTGTTCACCAAGTTGAGCTCAGTTATTCCCTAAAATCAAATACTCCGCGACTAATTTTATCACCAAATTCGGGAAAAAAATGAGAAGAATGCAAAGATTAATCCTTGGAAGCCCTTGAATAAGCCTTTCCTCCTCCATTTTGTCTGCTTTTTAAGTTTTGTATTCAGAGAATAATAGGTGAGGCCTTCTGTGGATAATTAAAACACATGTAAATTGAAATTCTCAGGTCAGTAATTAAATTGAGGAGCTCGCTGGGTAATGTTTACTTTTTAGCTCCCAGATTGTGTGTTCAGTTTTTCTTTAAGCTGCACTTTTCTTTTCCTTTCTTTCTTTTTTCAATCTCAGAGATTAAAGCAGCCTGAATTTTACACTAATATCTTATGAAAGCCACGGTGGGGGAAGCCACAGTGGTTTCAGTAAACAATGTGCTTTGATGTCTCCAACTTGAAATTCATATTTTGAGAGCCCTGATACATCTAATAGTATTTGGAATAAGATTTTAAGTCACTAAGCTGGGGCCATTTGCAGAGACACATGCCTGTGAAAACTAAATGTTAGCATTCAACTTGCATCTTACCACTGCCTTACAACAAAACGCTTCCTTTCTTCTCTGGGATGTTTGTGTGGTGCACGTGTCACACACGGGTGATGTGTCCACACTTCTTTTTGCCTGCTATTCACAAAGTTAAGAACTGTTAACCTTGGCTTGAAGCTTTGAGCAATTTATTTGGGCTTGGGAGTGGATATTTAAGAAAAAGTTAAAGAAAAAAAGACTTTCCATGAATATATCATTTTTTGTAAAACTGTGGAACCATTTGAAGAGTCCTCTTTTGACTGTGAGAAATACCATTGTTAGGGATTTATGTCTTTAAGCTGAAATCTGTCGGTCCCATTAGTCTGTTTTCGGGTGCAGGTGCTGTGGCACCCTTTTAAAAATATCATGACCCTTTGACCATATTCACAGGCTTCTGGGCAGTGAGAAGCTCCAATAAATATTAAAATATAAGAATAGATCTCAAGAATGACATTTCTGTTAGAACCTCAAGACAAAGTTCCCTTCATTCTTGCCTTGGAATCCCTTAGATCATACAGGCCATATGCCTCCAGCAGGGTCTCAGTAGCTCTTGTTTCTTTGGCGGTCACCTTGTGTCTGTGATGTCATGAGTGGTTACCATGGAGGTAATTGTCATGATGTGGGAGATGTGTGAATTCAGGTGCGGAGAAACTCAGCAGTGAGAGAGAGGTCTTTGAGAAAGAGACAAATCCCCTTTCATTCCAACTTCCTTAGTAACAAAAGAATTGAAGGAGGAAAAAAAGGTGGGGAGGAGATGTAAATATAATAACTGAAAATTATCATATTTTGAACAGCATGCTTTTTAGGCTTTGCATGGCATATTGAAAAGTTTTCTGTTTATTTATTTAATTATATTTTTCTCACAGAGTATGGTGTTAAAAATAACTTTCATGTTCTTTCTTGGAGAAAAGAAAATATGGCTTGTGATAGCAGACGAGAATACTATATTATGCAGTCCAAGTTCAACAGAGAAATCTTTTGAATGATATACCAGGAAACTCAAAGGTGATATGTTTTGCCCAGTTGGGAGAAAAAAGAAACACTGTTGCAATCTGCAAAACACTACAAAACAAGAGAGAGCCAATCTAACACAATGCAGCCAGACTGGCTTGCTGCTGGCATTTGACAAGCTAGGAAAATGAGACTGCAGAAATCCACAGGGAATGATTTTACTTTCCTGCTAATGAACAACCGTACATATCTTGCTTGGAATGAGGGGCGGTGGGGTTGAGGGCAGGGGAGCTGCTGAGCAAGCACTTTCAGGAAATGATCCAGAAACCCCTGCCTGGGGTTCGAGATAATCAATGTCATCACTGCTTGTTCCGATGCTCTGTCTTTTCTGGGAAAGGACCTGGCGGGGCTGGCAGACTTAGGTAGTCAGTGTGGTGGCTGGTGAAAGAGGGACCCTGTCGAGGCAAGTGCCGGGAGGCTGGGCACCCTCAAGCTTTGGATTCTGAGGAAGTGGCTTGAGTTTCAGTCCTAGATTTGCCTCTGTGAATTTTCTCTGACCTTTGTCAAAGCCCTTAACTGCTCTGTCTCCTCATCCTGTTAATTACATGAGACTGTTGTGAAAATAAATGTATTGGTATAAAATAACTATTTTTAGGCATGATACAAATGTAAGGGGTGAGACTTTGTTATTTGAGGTTCCATGTCAGCACAGGGCTTCCCAGGTGACTCAGTGGTAAAGAATTTGCCTGCCAATGGAGGTGACACAGGAGACATGGGTTTGATCCCTGGGTGTGGAAGATCCCCTGGAGAAGGAAATGGCTACCCAATCCAATATCCCTTCCTAAGAAATTCCATGGATAGAGGAGCCTGGTGAGCTACAGTCCACGGGGTCCCAAGGAGCTGGACACAACTTGGCAACTGAGCACACACCATGTCAGCACAAAGATATTTAGTTTTTCTTGTCCAGTTTTGTCCTTCATAGACCTACAGATGCCTGTGGGTACTTTGGTGAGCACTAATCCTGAAGCCCCACTCTCCATGGCATTGCTTTGGGGAGAAAAAGATGTAATAGGATTCTCCAGAGAAAGAGAACCAATAGGATCTCTCTCTCTCACTCTTCAATTTTCTGTGATCTATTTGTCCATCTATTTTTCTATCTAAAATGAGATTTATTATGAGAAATTGGCTCATGTCATTATGGAGGCTGAGACGTCTCATGATCATCTGTCTGCAAGCTGGAGACCCAGAAAACCCAGTGGTATAATTCAGTGTGAGTCTGAAGGCCTGAGAACCAGAGGAGCTGATGATGTAAATCTCAGTCTGAAAGCAGAAGAGATGTACTAGTTTAAGTAATGAGGCAGGAGAAAGGGAGCAGATTTCTCCTTCTTCTACCTCTTGTTCTATTCATAGGCTCTATGAATGGGATGATTGCCTACCTGCATTGGGGAGGGCAACCTACTTTACTGAGTTCACTGATTCTAGTGCTAATCACACCTGGAAGTATCATCACAGACACCCAGAAGTAACTTTTAATTTGGGCAGCCCTGAGGACCACGCGAGTTGACATGAAATTAACCATCCCAGAGTGATGTCTCTAGACAATGCTCAGTTACCACAGGGTCAAGTATAAACTCCTTAGCTTGGTGTTTGGTGTCTCTGTCCCCAAGGTGTTGCTGGACCATTAGTAAGGAAGACTTGTAAAGGAGTGGCCACAAAGTGATACAAGGAGCCCTATAGCAGCAGGGGTGAGTCCAGAGGCCTGAGGAGTCACGATGAACCAGCAGAGACCTGCTCTCCTTGTGTGGGGGCAGGCATAGCTGGAGCAACTGGAGGGAGAAGGTGACCGTGAGTGGTGACATAACGCAATCTCATTCATGTTCACATTTTCCATTACAATCTGGGTGCAGATGGCTCTGGAAATGTACATCTCCAGCCCAGACCCATCTATCACTTATCTTTCCACAGGGAGAAAGCCTCAAGGGCTCCCGAAACCCTTTATGTCCTCAACTGACCTCAGGATCTTTTTACCCAAATCTGGTCACCTTCCGATGTTCCACCGTTCCAGATGGCACCGCCCATCCATCTGGTTGGCTATACTCGGGTTCGGTAAGTTTATTTTCTTGTCTCAGTCACCACTCCCAGCTCCCAGTCCAAGTTTACATCTGTATCACTTGCCTGAGACGATGCAGTTCCCTCCTCACTGGGTGCCCACACCCACTCTGTGCCCCCATCCCCTTCTCCCCACAGCAGCTGGAGTGAGCATTTCAAAACGCAAATCTGATTATGTCCCATGCTCCCTAACTCCCCTCCTCCCCTGCATAAAACCTCTTAATGCTGTCTCATTTCTCTCAGGATAAAGACCCATATCCTCAGTAGAGCCTCTAAGACCCCTCGTAAACTGACCCCTGGTGACTTCCCCACCCCACCTTGGACCAGCAACCCCACCTCTGTCATCAGCATTACCAGCCTTCTTTCTGCTCCTCAGCGGCCCCAGGCCTAGGCCACTCCCTTGGCAGGAATCCTCTCTTCTGTTGCTGCTGCCACTCCCACCCGCATTGCCTAAGTTATCCCTTCTCATTTTTCAGATACCGCTCAAATATCACTCCTTCAGGGGAATCTTCTCTGGTCCCCCAGACTACTTCAGCCCTTCCACCATGTATATCTCTGAACACATTTCCTTATCAAGTATCAGTCTGTAACCATACATGTACTTTTGTGGTCATTTGATGCGTGTCTGTTTTCCCTGGAAGGTTGTAAGCTCTGGGATGCCTGGCTGGGTTTGCTGTCTGCCACAGTGCTGATTCCCAGCACACTGCCTTACAACCTCCATTAATCATGCATTGGAGGAATGAATGCACGATGTTGTTCATGAATGGAGGGCAACCCCGTGGGAGGAAGTAGCCAAAGGTGAAGCTGGGTCAGGATACTGTCCCCTAGGCACGGGGGTGCTGTGCAGCCTGGGACACAAGGATGTGACAGCCCACGAGCTGCCTTTAGAGGAATAGCTCTGAGGGGGCGTGTAGCATGGAGGCAGAAGATCTTAGAACCAGGGCAACACTTTCGGAAGCATCTGCTGAAGATGCCCTGTCCTGGGGCTGCGAGAGGAAAAATGGAGGGGAAGGGACAAATGCTTTTAGTATTTCCCATTTCTGTTTTCCCCCCTTAAGGATGGAAACAGTGGATCAAGGGGCTTTACATGGTTTAACATTTTTAATCTGTCCGACCCCAAGGTCACCAATGTGGAGAAGAATGAGGGGGTTTTGAAACTGATGGGGT